CCTTGATTGTTTTAATGAAACGAATTACGCTATGTAATAAATAATTCAGACACTAGCGTAGCAGATTAGTTGACGCATTTCATGTATCCTTTTAGTCAAGAGAAAAAGAGAAGAAAATGTTTTTTTTATGAAATATTTTGTTACGATAGGGCGGGTCCCACCGGTGGGACCCATCGGGTCGAATGTGCTAATTTGTTGTATAATTAATAAACACATTTCTTTTCGATTGACAATCAGTACTAAAATTCTGCGTTCATTCAGATTTTAAAAATGAGTCATATAGTTTTTCTATATATAAACTAGTAAGTGTTCAATTCAAAAAGCATTCAATTATATACACCAGACCTTATTTAGATAAAAACGAATGATCGCGTAAACATCTTTTGTTGATTTCTTGTTGTTATCATAGAAGTATCTTGATTTAATTGTCATCTTAATGTAACTTCTTGAATTATTTCTAAAGAGCACTAAGAAGTGCAATGTTAAATTGGTTCTGTGTTGAAAATAGTCTGAAGTGAGTCTAGAAAATGCATCTCTATTTGAAAAATCAACTCTATTAACAGGTTTATGCTAAATATCAAATATGTAGGACTGTTCTAGAGCGTCGGTGTGGTTGATGAAACGGTTTTTCGATAGTCACTGCTCGTATTTACTCACAACTCTGCTCAGAGTATTTCCAACCTTTTTCAAACTTAATATTCATATTTATTATGTTACATATTTAAACAAACAACAGATATAAATATAAAATTCGTACAATAATCAATCATATATACGGTTATCAAAATCAAATTATTTCTGTTCGGATGTTACGTCTCAGTCACCACCACAGCTTCCTCCTCCACAACCTCCTCCACCATGGCCTCCACCTCCACAACCTCCTCCACCATGGCCCCCACCTCCACAACCTCCTCCACCATGGCCTCCACCATGACCTCCACCATGGCCTCCACCATGGCCTCCACCATCACAGCCTTCACTACCACAGCTTGATGCGCAACTGCCCCCAATCGCTCCACATGACGAGGCTCCACCACCACTCGAAACGTGACATGGTACGAAAACCATTGCACATGAACTCATATATTGTGATGTTTGTAGATGTTTCCGATCAATATTCTGACCATATCCAATTTTGTAAATCTTTTCCCATCGTTTAGCAGTTTTTTGATAAGCATTTGTTAAAGTATTTGACTCAATTGCATCATTATGATCAACAATAAAACCACATAAAGATGTTGACGCAGTTTGATATTGTGATGGATATCTCATATGTGTATGCCATATCAAATCAATATCAAAAGTTGGTACAATCATTTCATTTTTATCAGCCAGTTTCATAAATGATACATAATTTTGTACCAGATGTTCAAACTGTGAACGATCCATCTTCGTTAAGTCAAAAGAATAAAGATAATGTTGTTGAAACTTCTCAAGAAAATCACGTTGACGAATAACAGCTTCTCTCAAATCGACTGATGGAACAAATACTAAATTTTTACTTGTCGATGGAGACACGGCCTTTGTATTATGTTTACGTCCATAATTTTTTAGAACTTCACGAACTTTTTTATCAATAAGTTTCCTACCTGGAAGTTGTTTGGTACAATCATTGAGATAATTTAAAGGATGAAGACGATGAACATGCCAAATCCATTCAGTTTCCAATGGAAGTTTCATTTGTTGATGCTTGTTTGTCATGTTTTGTTGTGCCATTCGACTACAATAATCATTAATAAAATGATCCAATGTTGGACCTTCTTGTGTCATTTCTGGTTGAGCAATCACTTGACCAAGTAATAAGATGTGATCAACTAAATCATGATATGAGATTCGAAACTTGTGTCCAGCCTTTGTTCGAATTCTTGCGTCGAAATTCGGGATCGAGGATGAAGGTGCACTACCCATTTCTTATGCATACATTTGTTTAATAAATTTGATGTATCTTTGAAAGATGAATCGCATGTATTTTATATACGACATAGTTTATCATGTAAACTTGCCGTGACACATGTGATAATGATTTAGGGTGGGTGTGGGTGTGGGTGTGGGGTGGGTATGGGTGTGGGTGTGGGGGGGGTAGGGGGGTGGTG